GGGACATTTGTTTTTCCTCCAAGGGCCTTGATGCATCTACCTAGCACCTGTAAAATCTGCTTAATATACATCAAATTCTTGGCCTTCAGTCGACTCCTGGTGAATGTAAAGAAGGAAGAAAGCTACTGAATTCTATCAGGGTATGTGCACAAAAAAAAAAAAAAATCTGAAGAAGTTATAATAAACAAATTAATTATAATGAATATTTACATATGTTATTAAACCCACCATACATGATAAAATAATATCAAATACACATGTACCTGAAATGTTAAGGTAGTTGTTATAACAGCAACACACTGAAATTGTTGTCATATAAGTGGAATCTTTTGTGATATTTTTGCACAAACACAGCTGAAAGCTGAGTTGAATTTGCCAGTACAAAAATTGGTACTCATCAAGTCCAGCTTTGGTACTTACTTAAATTTATCCATGTACTGTGAAAGTTGTGAATGTGCTCGGCAGAACTGGCAAAAAAAAAACCAAAAAAAAAGGCATCATTATCAATAAAAGCATCAATTTTTTTAGCAATCAAGGAGGTAATACTCTAAAGATTATGGTTTGTTTTCCTGCTGTTGCTCTAAAAAATGTCAAAGTATATGGTTCTTAAAATCAACAAGAAAATTTGGATTACTGTTCCATGCCCCGGATTTATCAATCTCAGCTTAGCAAATGTCTTAAGTCTAAAAAGTTAAGATGTCCCTAAGCAAATATCTTAAGCTGATTTATCAAACCATCTTAACAAAATCTTAGCTTAAAAATCATCTTAGATGGCGCATGCGTACAATCGACTGTTTAATTTTAAGCAATTTTGAAGCTAAGCAATATTGATAAATTTGACTTAAGAGCTGATTTCTTGTTTGATAAATCCGGCCCCTGGGGACTCTGGCTATAAATGGCTAATGCAGTGGGAGACAATCCTTTACTCTTCTCAAACAGTAAAAATGTTTTTTTCTGTGCACTATGCAGACGGGACTAACAACTTCACGTCTAATCTGGACAAAGGAAATTAAAGAAATGTGTCTTTACCCAAGAACACTCGCAAGTACGACATTTGCATGTGTATAACTGCCAACTCTATTAATGTCTGATGCACAAGACAAAAAAATTTATATAGCGGCATCTATGTAATAATCACAAAATAGTGCGCCCTCTATGTTATTTAAAAAAAAAATAAATTTTAGTGGAACTACTACGGATTACAATCGTCAGTCGGTATAGCTTCGTAAAAAAAATTTATATAGTCGGTATTGTACATTTTAATGATGAATTCACTTAATTTTTATGAATTTAAGGGTATAATCAGCCTATACATTTTATCTTGTATAAACATTTTTATGATACGTGAGATAATACAACGTAGGCGTGGATGCTCATGTGTGAAACCAGCGGATTATGCGAGAAAGTTGACAGGTGTACATGTCTTGAACCCGGTTATGAAGTCCAATCCCTAACTGCTGTGCTTACTAATCCTAAGAAAAGGGAGCTACGATTTGTGCGACGACGCGACGCTAAAACGGAATTACTCATGCGTGACTGTTTTACCTGGCTTTCTACGTTCTCTGCATACGTAGATTTGGCCAAATTGCGTTCCAGAATCTACTCGATGAGGTGACCTTAACGTTCTCACATTCGCAGATGACTTTTAGTGACGTCATTACGTTCTATGTCCTACCGTCATCATGTAATCAAACGCTCCCTATTGAAACATGCATACATTTCTTGACATATATTCTGACCTGTCATTAACTAACCTGTGACCCTGTGACCTCTACACTGTACATGCTTGCAATTGTTTCTGTTAGGTTATGTGCCTCGTCTATAATGATAATATTCCCTTCCAGTTTGATCCCACACGCCTGTCTCGTGGATTTGTGAAGGAGTGTGTTGTAAGGAAGCACAACCACCTATAAATAAAAATATTTATTATTATTTAATTATTAATATTCAACAAATCTATTATTTAACTTTCTCTATGCAAGTCATAAAAAATGGAAAACAGATTCAAATTAACAAAAAGCAGCTGATCATTTTTTTCTTTGTAAATAAAATGTAAATTCATTGATTGTTTTTAGATTTATAAGGAAATCAACTGAAAAGAATGTTTTGATGTATAGACAAGCTGTAATGGAAACTCCTCTTTCATTATAGTTCTCCAAGCCGGAGTAGATTGATTATTTAAGTGTTTTCTGAAGTTACACTATGCCTTTTATGGTGAAAAAAACAAATGAAATATAACTACAACTTAAAATTTATAGTACATTAGTTGAAATAAATACAACAGGATGAAACATCATAGTCAGTATAATTAATTTAAAATAATATTGAAAGTACATGAGTATTACCTGGGCTTCAGGGATAGCTAATCTTGTTCCATAGTAAGGGCATGATTTAATTTCTTTCCCAACATGCACCAGTTGTTCTATGTCCATAACGTCAAGAGACACATAATCTTTGAAGTCCTCAAATCGTGTTGCTGAGTAAAATGGACATCCACTGCCTGTGACCTTAGCTCGTTTCTTTGGTTGCGTTGGGTCAACTTTCTTTGATTCTATGTAGTAATAATATTCAATAACATTATTAATAAAGGGCAAATAGAAAAATCTATTAGATTATCACTCCCGCCCGCGTCAGAAATTTGGAAAATATTGATGCGGGAAAAAAAAAACATTTTTTTTTGCCGCATCAATTATTTCACCAGCATAAAAATAACAATACAATTTTGTGACTTCAAATACATTTTCTTTAAAAAACTATGAAATTAAACCAGTTTTTATACAATATTTACTATTACACACCAAATATAAACATTCCCTCCCTCATTGATAAAAGCAAAAGCGAAATAATCTATTGTTCCGATTAAAAAAAAGAAAAAGAAAAAAAACCCCGCCCTCCCTCATCAATTTAAAAAAAAAGAGTGATAATCTAATAATATTTTCTATGTGCCCTAATGATGATAATGTTTGGCATTTAATAACATATTTTTTAAAATTTTGAAAAATCTGGACATTACAATAACCACTAAGGGCAGGGGGAGAGTGCTTATGTGGTGGAACTGCTTAGATTAAAAAAAATCCACTATCCACACACACCCCTGCCAATCACAAGTTATTGAAGAGAGTAATTCTATGTTGAACTTTTTCCTAACACATCAAAGTGGAAAACAAAGTTAAAAAAACTAATACCTTTTTTCTTATTTTTCTGCAATTCCAGACACCGGTCATTCATCAACGACAGGCTACTTAACTTCTTGACAGCTTCATTTACGCATAAGTTCTGCCGGGAACCGAGTGTTACGACCTTTGAGTCATCACCGAATGGACTTTTCTGAATCTCATGAACAAACTGACTGAGTTGAGAGTGAGTTCGACTGCAATAGTATATCTTTTTAAAAAGACATTTAGAAATAAATAAATAAAAAAAATAGTACGAAAAATATATCCAGTAACAAATTAATTTAAAAACATTAAAATATTTTAAATATTAATTTAATAAAATCAATAATTGGCAATAATAAATTATTTTTAAAAATCCACCTTGGTCACATGATCCGGTACCACAGCAGTCTCTTCTTCGTCCTCCTCTTCATACTTGGTTGTTTCGTCCTCACTGTGATACTCTTCAACTACTAGGTTCTCATCGTTGTCATCTTCCTTCTCAGGTAGCAAACCTAATTTCTCTGTTTTTAATGTGTTGTCATTTTCATCAGTGGAAGGCTTGATGCTTGGCACATCAACCGTAGACTTTCTCTAGATGAGAAATTGATAAGTTACACATATGCATTTTGATTGATATAATTAGCCATATAGGCACAAGGACACCCAATACTGAATGACATCTCACTGCCTTAAGCTAAGCTTACATTGCCCTTTGCAATTCAAATCAATGCACCTTTCCAGAGGTCATTTTTATTTCATTATTATTTCGTCAAAAAAACATTAAAATTGACAAACATAAGATAACGGAGAGCAAAAAACAACAATCAGTTGGCCGGACAGATTGCCAAAAAGAGAACTAAATCCCTGTCTAGTGGCTCTCCGATGCCAATGAGAACAAAAATTAAATTAGCATAAAATATTCAAGTTAAGTAGGCCAATCAATAA